TCAATGTTAGTGTAAAAAAAAAAAATAATAATATCCACCAATACAGAGCCAAAATATTGTGCATCCATAATTAAACCATTTCTTCATCAATAAATTAATTTAAATTGGTAAACGACAAAACGGCATTGTCCAATCAGCTTACAGGAATGGAACTGTCTGTTTTATAATGATCTTTTGAATCCAATATCTGCCATAAAAAAAAAATACAACTCACAGCGAGAGCCTGAAACATAATGCAATTATTACTTTTGGATGAGAAAAATTATCTGCTGCATTATGAAATGTCTTTTGGAGCAGAATCTATTGGAGAATGAGCAATTGTCCTCATCAACCAATCAAGCTAATCTATAATTAGTTCCTCCATGGGAAGAAAACACAGAAAATTAACTCCAGTTTGCGGAATAAAAATAACCGAGTTAACATTTTAAGATGCTCTCTGCAGTGTGCTTATTCAAGGTCAAAGCAAACAAGGCAGGCCGGTCTCGAAGTTCCCCTACCAAGCAGTTTCAAATCCACAACTCCGTTTCCACCAAGGTCTGCACTTTCACTTCAGCTTTTCATCAGACGGCGTCTTGAGATAAAGCTACATCTGTGACCTTTTCTGTCAAATCTGCTGCTGAATTAGCAATTACATTCAGTCTATTTCAGCACAGAGTTCGGTCCAAGTATCATCCTGTGATGTTCCTGCTCCCTGAACTGTAACATGTTGATCCATTTCGGTTTACTCACAGCAGATGGTAAGGCAAGAGGGCAGTTTCAACAACCAGAGCATTGTGTTGTGCTCTGGAACATCTGCGTGGAGAACATTGTAGCTAGAGTCCTTGTGGTCAGACACAAATTAAGGATGGTCGGGAGGTAAACATCCTGTGCTTTAAGGAAACATTCCAAACATCAAATCATGGTGCTAACGCCTACACAAGTTTACAGGTGCATGAGAGAGGTGTAAGCTGGGAAGAAAGATCACCTTTTACACATTTTCGGAAAACAAAAACTTCCCCGAATGCTCCATAGCTGTTAAGCGGCTTTAAACCGAACGAGTTGAGTAAAGAGATTTAAACAGACGGCTGCCACTAGTGAGCCAGTGCAGTATATTACCTTTGTCAGAAGGGAATTAGCTCTCTCGAAGAGCTCTCAGAGCTTAAAAAAACTCTGTACGGTTTCATTTTTTGATGTGATGGAGACTGGAAGAGGTAGAGCAACACACAATTAAGAAGGAGGGTAAATACCCTAGGACTGGGTACTGACATAAATATCACAATTCGATTACATTTCAATTTGTAAGTTTGCGATTCATTTCAATTCGATATATATAGTTCTAATTTCTACAAGTTTAGACCTCCATATGCTGTACACACACACACATATATAGCCTATATCAGGTACAGTATATGGACTTAGCCTGGCTAACATCAGACCTCGTCTCATTGCGACGTGGTATGTATCTAAGGCTGCATCGAAAGGTAACTTGTGGTCCTGGAAATGTGGTCCTTGCGTAGCTAAAGTGCATCACTGGTTGAGAGCTCACATATAGATGCGTCAGAGTGCTCCAAATGGCATTTATTGTTTGAATTTCATAATAAAGCTGAGACTGTTTCATACACTAAAAAATCGATTCTTGAATTTTAAAATTCATTTTTGGTTCATCAAAATGAAAATTGATTAAAATCGAGAAATCTACACTTTAAACCCTGCCCTAAAATACACAATGTGATTTCACAGTCAGTGTGAATGCAAAACAGCCCCCTGGACGGTCCCCGCTGTCTGTGGCCTGCTTAAAGGCCAAACCTCAAGGCTCAGATATCTTCTTCTGCGAGTTTGAGAACACTATATCCGAAGTATCTATCTCTGTTGACAGCAGTCTCTCACACCTCAAAGCCACAGGAACATTAAAACATCTGCCGATCTTCTCATGATGCACGACGGCTGAAAAGCAAGCATGTCAAAGAGGCCAAGTCTGAGGCTTCCGAGAAGTTCTGCGTCTACGGCATGGCTCCACGCTTCTATCCACAAAACCATCCATCTCTGTCACAGGAAAAGACACTGAGGAGATTAAAGCACGAGAGATCCAACACTGTATAGTTTAAGACTGCCACCTCAGCCCCAGATACAGCAAAGCTTGCCAACGTCCTCTAGATTCAATACATCCAGCCCATTCATCTCTGTTCCAGACCACTGTTTTATCCGCCTCTTAATGTCAATACTAATAGATTGTAATGCATTTAGATCTTTCCAGTAAGAGAAACTCAGAACCTCAGCAATCCTCTGATAATTATCAAACAGGGTTGACATTGCTAGAGTACAGCACACAATCTGAAGATGGGTGTCTGTATCGTCATCACCCTGCCAAGATTTTATAATAGCTAGAAAATTGTGCAGTTAATGAAACAAAGAAAGACCTGGTTGCTTTTATCCAATTGTCCCATCAGTGGCTTTATAGTTCTTTTATTTTTATTGTAACCTACCCACAGCTGTTGCCACAATGTAAACAGAAAAATAGTAACACAGACGTGGACGTGGTCAACAACGAGGTGTAGTTTAAAAAAAAAAACAAGGCATATAAATAAAACATTATTTTGGCAGGGAGTAAAAGATATTTAATGCTTTAAAACTAAATAAAGTTTTTAAAAGTGTGTACTAAGAAGTTAAAAAAAAACATTTTTAGAGTTCTGGAACTGGTGTTAAAACCCCAAACACACCAAAACTAGACATTTTAAGTTGTTTAGGGACCATTTCGTCTTCCACAGTCTGTCTAACGTCGCATGGCAGAGATGATATTTATGGCAGGACGGTGCTGGGGGAGAAAGACAGAAAAAGCAAGTCCCATTGTTGGTCTCAGGAGCTGCAGTATAATTACTGTAGCACATGCGGGGCCTCCACGAAGATGCCTGGCTGCAGGCCGGGGACCGGCTCTCTATACTGAGGTCTCCCCGCAGCCCCACTGCACTACGAATGAACTCGCTTTCCACATGCCTCTTTCTCCTGTTCCCCTGATCTCTTACTGTCCTTTCTGCACATCTCATTCAGGAGGCTCAATAATAAGGATTGCTTCTGCTGGCCTAAGAGGGACTTTCACTTGCCCTGCCAACATTTTCACTGGTCGTACGACAAAGATAAATTAAATTAATTAACCCGAAAACACACAAACATTTTTTTCCCATAACATATACCTGAACCACATACACACATTTTATCACTTTATTGTCAGAATTTCCAAAATTTGCTTTGTGTCCTAAGACTTTACACATCAATGGCAACAACAGACAATAAAAAAAAACTCTACATCATATTTTATATCACGCTACAATAACTGACTGTGATATGTATACTAGTTCACCTATATGTATATTGGTAAATTATTACAAATATTTTGTTTTGCACTAAATTCTATATTGCATTAAAAATATATATCCAGTATATTATCATATCATTTACATGTATATTAGTAAATTTATATGTACACAGTATATATATATATTTAAGTAAAATATTTAATTCAATTAACATTACTTATATTTAGTGTAAAACAGTATTAATATAAAAAGAAATGTTCAGTTATAACAAAATTTTCTAAGACAAATTCTAGCAACAAAACCTCATCTATGTGAGTCAGCTGCATACTGTATTGTTACTGTGGCAACATATTTAAATTAACAGAACTTTTAATGTTCACAGAAAACCAAATGTTTCAGTTTGCAAACCACAAAACACGTACATGATCATCAAGCACAAGATGAAAAGACTGATAGGACTTATTGACAGATCCATCAACTAGCATTGCGCCATAAAACCATTCTTATTGCTGAGCCCTGCACTCCTCTCAATTTCTTTTCCTTCCTCTCTGCAACCTCCAAAAGGACGCATCACTATCCCCCCTTTGTGTGGGACAGGGAGCCAAAGGCTGGAAGGCAGAGTAGAGGATCTCTCCCTTGAGATTTAAGACAGAGTGACACAGGAGGGGCTGTCAGCCGATATCCCTGCTCCTGTCCGGAGCGGGTGTCACAGCTTCTGGATACGACAACGTGTCAGGACAGCCTGTCAGTTGGCGTCCACGGGCTAAAAAACCCTGCTTTACCTATCCATCAGCCCTAAAATTTTAATTTCAATCATCTCACCCCTGCAGAATCTGGTGAGACTGGGATCGAAAGCATTACTAAAATTAAACTCTTCTGCCAAAACCCGAGCCAGAGTTGCCAATAAAAAGCACTGGGATATAAACCAACAGCTGAAACACTATTATTTGCTGGCAGTATCAAACGCCTTATGATACGTTTTCAAACTGTGCAGTATTTACCCAAATAGTCAGTGGCCTAAATGCAGTTTAATTGATGTGAGGCTACGCTCTAAACCAGATGCTGGGAATGTTACGCTTGGCTGTCAGTAAAACAGAATGCTAAGATTTTCCTCTTTAGTCAAGGCCCGTGTTTCATGTCTGAAACACACAGGCTGACCCAGAGCTCTAATGGCCCCCGGGGAGAGTATTCTGCATGTGTCAGCTTATGCCCGAGACACACTTGCTCTGTTAATAATGTCTCTCACTTTGTTCTCGCCCTGTGCAGAGTCTGCTTGGCCCACCAAGGATTTAGATCCTGAGGGGGTCAGGCTCTTTCATTAGGGCTGCTGCTCTTGATCAGAGTTGGATTTCCATGATAATTAGCCATGACTCAAGTTGACATGAAACACCAGAGGAAACTCAACTAACAGACCAGTCATGTGACCTGACCTCTCCTATGTCCATCCGGCAGGACGTTCAAAGGGCAACAGATCAGGGTCAAAAAGAAAGACCATACGAGTTATGAGACTGACGACCATGATAACGCTTGAAGGTGACCTTAAAAACCATCTACTGGCATTGAAACAGACATCTCGGTGCAAAATGCACATAGAACAAAAGTGAAATCATCCTTCTCATTTCACTTCAGAATAGACAAAAACAATCCGTATACAAAACACTGATCAGATCATGTGTGACCAGACCACAAGCAAAACAAAAAGCATCCTACCTGTCCTGTGACTGTTCTTCGTACATTCTCTCCTTGGCTTCCTTAAAGAGGCGAATTGCTCTTTTGGATTTCTTCATCAGGCTGTCGATGTACACTTTGAAATAGTCATTCTCACTTAGCTGAGTTAGTCTCTGGTGCTCCTCGTATTTGCACAGAATCAGCCTCAGGTGCTGGTAAGTGTCAGGTAAAATATCCAGGATGTACGGAGGACTGTTCTTCAGCTGTAGTCTGGGGTTCTGACATAACCTCACCTATAAAACACACGCCGTCAGTTTAGAAAAATCGACTCCCCTTCACTGAGAACACACTACACAACAATTTCACTAAACAACTAAGTTTGAAAAAAGAACATTTTAAAAAATGGACTGTACCCGGACTGAAAACCTTCAGGTCTCGGTCCAATGATTAGTACAACAGACTAGTATAGAGAAATGAAAGGGTTAGTTCACCCAAAAATGAAAATTATGTCATTAATGACTCACCCTCATGTCGTTCCAAGCCCGTAAGACCTCCGTTCATCTTCGGAACACAGTTTAAGATATTTTAGATTTAGGCCGAGAGCTTTCTGTCCCTCCATTGAAAATGTATGCACGGTATACTGTCCTTGTCCAGAAAGGAAATAAAGACATCATCAAAGTAGTCCATGTGACATCAGTGGGTTGGTTAGAATGTTTTGAAGCATCGCACATTTTGGTCCAAAAATAACAAAAACGACAACTTTATTCAGCATTGTATTCTCTTCCGGTTCTGTTGTCAATCCGCGTTCAGTGACGCTGGTGATGTAAGACGCTGCTGACGTGTTATCTGGTGCGCCCGAGCTTCGTTTACAGTCTGAGGGAGACGCACGCTGTAAACAAAACAATCTTTGCAAACATGTCTAAGGATTTCGACACAGAGGAAGACTTGCATTTTTTTGCCCAGCCATATTTATTTGAACCCGAATACACGGACGCACCCGATAACACGTCAGCAGCGTATTACGTCAGCAGCATCACTGCGGACTCGTGAACGCGGATTGACAACAGAACCGGAAGACAATACAATGCCGAATAAAGTCGTATTTATTGTTATTTTTGGACCAAACTGTATTTTCAAAAACATCTTCAAAACATTCTAACTAACCCACTGATGTCACATGGACTACTTTGATGATGTCTGTATTTCCTTTCTGGACAAGGACAGTATACCGTACATACATTTTCAATGGAGGGACAGAAAGCTCTCGGACTAAATCTAAAATATCTTAAATGGGCTTGGAACGACATGAGGGTGAGTCATTAATGACATAAGTTTCATTTTTGGGTGAACTAACCCTTTAAGATGCTTGCACTATGTAACAAATCATCATCACGAAACTGTATACAGAACTCTATTTATGACACGTATCTTTTATCAAATATTACATTAGTAATGAAAGATTGATGGGAAAGAAATCCCAGAAGTTATACATGTATAAATTATATAACAACCCAAACTATTGCATCTATAAAATAGCTATAAATAAATACAAAAAAGATGGATGGATGGATGGATGGATGGATGGATGGATGTTATGCTCTGTAAGTACAGACGATAGATGGATGGATAGATGGATTTCAGCTACGAACAAACTTCTCGAGCTTGCCGCAACTCAGTAAACAGTTTGCTACAATGTATCAAACAAATGCTTCCAAACAAGCGACTTCGTGGAAAAGTCTCTCAGCGCGTGAGAGCAGAGGAAGCACTGTTACGTCATCGACAGGAAGACTGTATACACACTCAAGACACTTACTACTTTGTCCATGAGTTTCCATGTCTTCTCTACGGTCCGGCGGTCCGCAGCCGCCTGTTTGGGGGGTCCGACAGCGTCCTGGATGGCATCAATGATGCCTAAAATACGGCCTTTCCTATTGTTAGGTGGGCGTCCACTGAGAGCAGTTGCCATTTTCTGCACACTGTAACATACAGAAATGTTGAAGGCAACTAAACACATGTGGGCAGATATGTGACAGTAGCCTATATGAAAGAACTGTACCAGGTCTGAAAACCTTTACTTGAGGTCTTTTATATCAGACCAGCGATTAGTAGGCTACAAAAGACTATTAAAGAAATGCGAGAGATGCGTGCACTTTGTAACCCATTTAGTAGCCTACCACTGATTACATTTGTGAACATTAGTTTGTATATTGTATAACGTACCAAATACAAAAACAACTATAATTTAAAGGCACATGTAAACTGATGACCGAGATTTGTCCATCTCACATAAATCATGATCACCGAACATGTAAACAGAACTCGATTTTAAATTATTTAATCACATTATAAAAGTTATAAACTTTTTTTAAGCATGCAGTTTGTTTCAGTAGGCTGTCTAAACAGTGCCCACTTAGCTGGGAATAATTTGGGATGAAACCGTTTAAAATCCACCCAGCAGAAATACAAAATTACTGTGTTGCACTTTTTAAAAGAGCATTAAACAAATGCGATGTAGTAAACACAACTTGATCTTCAAAGACTATGACAACTAATTAGCCAGAGCATGGATCTTAAATTCACTGTAAATTGCGGCAAATTGCTCTTTTGTATAATATAAAAACTCCAGACTTACTGCGGCAAAAGGAAAACAGTGTAGCAGCCAATACAGGGAATGTCAGAATTCCTGAGTTGAAGCTTTAGGGAGGTCCCCACAACAAATGACAACAAAAGGAACAAAAACACAACGCTAGTGCCAGGAAACTGTTACATCTCTGCCCAAACGCTCAAAAACTAGAAGCAGCTTGTCCGTATCCTCACGTAAAAACCACTTAAACGCAGTACAATCCCGCTTTTCTCGCTGTCTGATATGGTCGTGACAGTGCTCGGTTAAAAATCAGTACTGGAACAAGAAGCAGCGAGAGCAACAGGGAGGAGCCGAGTGGGCGGAGACGATGAAGCAAACGCTTTCAAGTGGCCAATCAGAAAGCGCGAACGTTCTCTGAGGTGACGGAGTTCTCCAATCGCCAATTGGAGTTGAGACTTTAAGTGCATACTTAATATTTCCGTAAATGAAGAGGCAATGAAATCGTGCAAAGCGTTTTGTAGGTTGTTCCTATTGTGCAAATTATATATTCAGTCATCTTCACTTTCTCCGATGGAAACAAGTCTTATTATGGCAAGCCCTGTTAACATTTATAACGTCTAAAATATATAACTAAAATTTTTGTATGTTTTTTTTTTTTAATTACTAGTACCTAATCCAATAGTGACTATGTTTTCATTTTAATTACTACTTTGTTACTGGTAATATTACTAGTAATAATTGGAATAACGGCTAGTATCTATAGCCTGTAGCTAGGCCTATACTTAAAGGGTAACTAACCCCTAAACCAACTTTTTTAGTTAATGAGCTGTAAGAATGGGGCTTTATTAGTGCTGATCATTGATTCGAGTAACTCTTTTGACATTTGGGTATAAAGTGTTTTAATTCTACAAAGTATGGTGCAAAAACGTCTGAGTGCTATGCTAAATAGATGCTAAAATACTCTATCCTGATCGTTTTCAATACTCGTGCGAGTCAAGAAGAGATTTCAAAATGGCGGCTGCGTGAAATCAGTGTATAGGAAAATTCAACTGCAGTAGCCACCGTTCAACCTGAAGAGGGCAGTACTCAGACTTGTTTATAGTTATTTAGATTATTTTGTGTAGCCTAGTTAGTTAGTTAGTAAGTAGCATAGTACGGCATCAGTTAGGATAGCTTCAAGTTAGCGTAGATTTATCTGTATTTAGTACAGTGCGGTCAGGAGAGCTAAATACACCTATAATAGAGGTGGAAATGGGCTTCTCCACACAGCTCGCGCTGAAAAGCGACGCAGTGCCAAACACTTCTCCTACTGCATGGACTCCACCACTGCAGCGGCGTCTTGATGTGAGTGATCATGTATATTTTAATCACAATTTATGCGCTAGGCTAAAGTGAATCCTCTGGGGTCGACAAACGCGCCGGCGCATTTTGCTGGATTTTTTCACATAGCTGCAAAATATCAATATGACTATATGCCTACAGAGAGTGCGCGCTATTGACATCAACTCGACAAAACTCATCAGATGCCGATTGCGATGCGGGAGTTAAGGCCGCAGTTTGAGCCAGCGGCTCGAATTGATATGGCCCTGTGTCCACAGACAATTCACCCTCGATTTCAAATGACCGCTCTGTTGCAAAGCTACTTGCGTCACTCCAGTCACTCTCGATTTTAGAGTCTGACAGACAGCAGCTGTCACTGCGGGTCTCAGGTGCACGCCCCCCCCCCCCCCCCCCCCCCCCGCTCAGTCCCGCCCTCGGTTCGTCCCCTCTATCTCCGCTGGGGTCTGCCCATTTTTTCAGCATTTTTCACATATTGCCAGTGGGTGGAGTCAGACTCTGACCAGGGGTTTAGTTACCCTTTAAGCTGAAATAGCCTAGACACTAGTAGTTAAACTAGAATTGGCACCAGTAATAACTAGAATACTAGTCAGAAGTGAATAGTTGATCCTCAGATCCCTATTCAATTCAATTGCAAAAAAATTGTTAGTAACAGAATTGTTCAATTGGTAAAGTAACTGGTTGCGAAATAGTACACTAAAACAAATTGGTGTAGATATTCAACTTTCACTCAAAAATTTCTTGTAATTTTAAAAACAATTACAAACAGCAAGTAGCCTAACACTGAATTAAATGTGACACTCTGAAGTAGAAAAAAAAGTATTTTCTTTTACAAATTACAACTTTGAAAAATAATTTTCACAGTGTAGCCTACTAGCATAATGGATAAAATAGGAAGGTTACTATGTAAAGAATATGCCTACAAGTTAGTTCAAACGAATAATGTTAAAATGGCTTTCCACACAAGTCCCGTTGTTTAGGTGCTCTACAACCACGTGGGCCATTGGCGGAACATTTTGTTTTGCTCCTCTAATAAGAAATATCTTGATCTCTCTCTTCTACTTATTCTGTGTTCCTCTCTTTCAGCTTTATTTCATCTAATTCATGTTTGCAGTCTTAGCATGATATTCACAGTCATGGGAAGCCTGGAAATATCAGGGATTTCATCATTTTGATTTCTAGGCCTGGAAAATTCTATTCCACCGAAGTTTTGTATTTGAAGACTTGTTTTGTTTGTGAACAGTGCATATTTTTGAAAGGATTCTTTGACAGAAAGGCACTGGATAGTATTGAATCACAATGTCACAGTCTGGTTTTCAATTTATAATCATATTTAAAGTTGTATCATATCCCATTTTGTAAACATAAACAATATAAGGCCTTTCCAACAGAGACAATTATGAAAACGTTATATCTGAACGTTCAAAACATCTGTTTTTTTTGTTTTTAAGTATTAAGAACGTTTTTTTTGGTTTATGGGAACGTTAGAGGATTCCATTCTATCAATGTTAATAAATGTATGTATCTATAAATGTTATGAAAACGTTATTTCTGAATTTATTTTTAAATGTTCAAAACAATCAAAAAAATTAAATGTTTAAGAACGTTTTGTCCTAACATTTACATGACTTAGATTTGACTTGTGTGCTGTCTAGTTGTATGTTTGAGTTTGTGTTCTTTTTTCCCTTGTGGATGTGTTTTTGAATTCATATAAACATAAATATAAACAGGGCAGCACAGTGGCTCAGTGGGTAGCACTATCTCCTCACAGCAAGAAGGTCCCTGGTTCGAGTACTGGCTGAGGCAGGAGTTAGCAGGTTCTCCATGATTTCCTCCAGGTACTCCAGAGTTCAAAGACATGACTGAAGTGTCTGTGTGTGAGAAACCGTCCCGGTGATGGACGGGCCATCCGTTCAAGGTATTTTGAACATTCAAATATAACATTTTCAAAATGATAGAATGGAATGTTCCTTTAACTTTCACATTAACCAAGGAAAAAACGTTCTTAATATTTTTTTTAAAAAAACTGGACGTTTTCAACGTTTCAAAAACATTCAGAAATAACATTTTCATAACCTAATGGGAATGTTAGCAAAACATTCTAAGAACATATTTTTGTTAGCTGGGATTCCACTCATTCTTTGCGAGCAGATACGGATTTCCTATTCTAGCCTTTAACTGTCTATACAGAAAACTCACTGTGAAACCTAATACAGTTACAAGAATGAGTGATTCTCTACAGAACCGATGTCAAAATGTGAAACTGTCAGGTCAAACCACTACAAAAACTTGGTATAAGACAAGGAAACAGGAAGTAGCAAAAACAATGAAACATCTTTGCACCTGAAGACACACCAGAACTTGCACACACAACAGAATAGAATGGTTTATATAGAGGTAATTTAACATAATGGTCTGAAAATGGTGCAATTTGTCAATCAGTTGCAGAAGTCAGAAATTCAAGACATGACTCAGAGAACTGAGGCGCTGGACTTTAATGTATCCAGAAAATGCTCAGACATGTTTGGATTAAATGTAGCTATTTATGTGGTTAGTATCCCTTTCACTTTTTTTTTCAGAAAATCACAAAAAAAATCAGTTACTTTCGATGAATGAAAGAAAATTTCATATCATTCTGGATTGTAGGTAGGCCTAGCTGATGACAAATTAGAATTTTTTTAACTTGCCCCCATCTGCAGCGAAGCACCATGGATGATGTTTGTAATGAGAATGGGGGTCCCTAGGGCCATGACCAGGAGGTCACACGATACAGCGCAGCGCTTATTAAAGCACAACGCTCTCAGTTCCACTTCCATGGCACTACACACACACACACAAACACACACAGGAAATGTGATCCAATGTCTCCCGGGCATATCTTTCAGCAAAGAAAGGACAGCATATAGAGAGAAAGGAGCAATGGAGTTGCACAAGATGAACAATCATAGCACATCAGGGGCTGATGATGGTTATTTCTACATCTTAATGCACATTATGACTCATTCTTTATGCCTCAAATATTTCAGAACGAATCTAAACGTGTGTGTGTGTGTGTGTGTGTGTGTGTGTGTGTGTGTGTAGATATATAGATATTTCCATATGTATATATATTTCCATATATATATATATATTTCCATATATAGGCTATATATAGATATATATATATTTCCATATATATATAGGGCTGTCAAACGATTAATCGCGATTAATCGCATCCAAAATAAAAGTTTGTGTTTACTTAATATATGTGTGTGTGTGTGTGTGTGTGTGTGTGTGTGAGAAATATTTGCATGTATATACTGTATATAGACTGAATGTAGCCTATATATAATGTATATTTTATATAAATATAAACATTTTATATATAAATAACATTTTTCTTAAATATATACATGTGTGCATTTATATACAAAATAATTATACACAGTACACACACATACGGTATATTATGTAAACAAAAACTTTTTTTTTGGATGCGATTAATCGTGATTAATCGTTTGACAGCCCTAATATATATATATATATATATCATTTATTTATTAAACATCTAAAACGTGTTTATTCGTTGAAAATAATATATATGTGTGTGTGTGTGTGTGTGTGTGTGTGTGTGTGTGTGTGTGTGTCAGTGTGTGTTTATGTTTTTGTGTGTGTGTATATATATATATATATATATATATACAGACACATAAATGACAATGAAGTAAATATTAAAAACTCACCATCTTCTCAGTATGACATTACAGGATGTAAAACGATTGTTAAGTAATGCTTGAAAGGTCAGCATATTTTTCCCCTCAAAAGCATCAGACGGTCAGCATAATATCTTGCTTCTCTGTTAGAATGTGACCCTGCTTTCGATTTCCCTTTTCCTGACCTGTGGAGGTCAAGTATGTGATAAGAGTTTAGAGGGGAGGAGGCAAAAGAGCTCAGAGTGGGTGTTTCTGGTCAGTCAATAACTCCCAACAGTAAGTTAAAAC